TATTTGTAGTTCAACAAATAATATCATTATGTTCAAATTATGTTGCGTGTATTTGACACTTTATTCTATAAATCGTAATTGTAATTGTGGTCTTGCTATTGTATTGTGATTAATGTTATTTTAGATGGTTCATTTAATTATAAGTCATTGTTTGTTTTTGATAAATCAATCATGAAGAGCCGCATGGGCAAGTAGAAGAAAAATGATCAGTCTATCTATTACGCTCAACACGATCCTCACTCACAGTCGATCAATCGTCACAATCAAATCTCACACCTCTAAGCTACTACGGTGGAGAATACGTGGTTCATCCGAGATCGACAGTGCCGAACGCGGATAGCGCGACCAGAGAGACGCTGCCTGCTAACAGCGCCCGTATTCAGAACGTTCAACTTGGAATGTAAGGAATAAAACGCATGTGATAATTTCTTGGCTGTTCTTTTTCGGGAGGGCGTATACTAGTTTTAGCACATGCTGATCAGCTCACAGGAAGAAAGGCGCGGCATAGAAGGCTCGTGTTCACTAGCAGAGCGAGCCTCAGCATAGTCACACTCCGTATTACCATGATACCATGATAGGATTACCATGATAATGCCTCTGTGTTCATGGCATAAAATCGCATGTTGAGATTGCATCAATTGTAGCAAACCTGTCTGATTTAGTATTAGCTGAGAAAATCAGAACCAAAGTGAACACCGCAGTAATACTACTTACTGACTTACTTGGACGGCCTGTTTCACTAGCAGGGCGACGTGCGCGAGAGCCATTCCGTGATTAGGAGCTCGTTGCCACCTGTGGATGCAAATAGTTGACCTTGACCACAGACACGTCCGTCCGCCGTTTGAGCGGTTTTTCAAGAGGGTGCTTGCATTCTTTTTAGATCCATTCCACTATTCTTTCGTCTTATGTCATCTGTTCTGAATATTATGTGACCAGCCCATCTGTGTTTCGCTCGATGCTCCTGCATCATGAAGATAAGATGTTGTTGAAGATTTGGTCAAACCACCCAGATCTTATGTCCGACTAACTTTTACAAGACTTCGCTCAAGCGTCCTGTGAGTGATATAAAAACTTTTTGACTTGGATGTTGAATCAGCACACGTCTATGCTGTATAGCAGAGTGTTGGGACGACTGTCGAATCGAAAAGGTGAGCACGAAGTTTGGTGGTCGCCATTTTCGGTCACTTCTTAGAGAGACTCGAATGCGGCCCATGCTGTTCTCCTTCTTCTATCTAGTTCCGCCTTCATTCTCCTCTCCATATTCATTGAACGTCCAAAGTACACGTACGGAGTGGTTTCCTTAATCAGGAGGCATCAAGTTCACTTTGACCTTAGCACCGTAAAACTTTTTGTAAACCGCGTTTCTTCTGTATATGTTTAACCCAATCTTTTTTCCTCTTCGTTAGGTTCACTGAGCATCGTCTCTGATTCACTGATACTTCTTGAAAAGATAGCGATATCGTCCATAAAATGGAGGTTCAATAGAGTTTTCCATCAATCCGTATGCCTTTCTCGTCCCATTCGAGCGATTTATCATCCCACTGCAGTATAGAAACAGGTTTGACGATATCGTATAGCCTTGCCATGCCCCTTTTTCGATGGGCTGGTAAAGGGTCAATGAAAGGGCCGTGTGTCCGTTCTCTAATTTCGATAGTAATCTGCCGATGCTCGTACATAGGATGGTTTCCACCATGAACGTTTAGCGTTGATAGGATTGCATTCGTTTCAACGCTTTCAAACGCTTTCTTATAGTCGATAAAGCTTGGAACAAGGAGCATGCCGTATTCCCCACAGACCTGAATGACTCGTGAGACGATTTGGATATGCTCTATGTGGCAGAATCCCTTACGGAATCCTGCTTGTTCGAGTCACTTTGGCTCATCGAAGATCTTTGTTATGCGCAAGTGTAATCTTCGGGACGAACTTGCAAAGACTCTGCAAAACACCGTAGTAATATTCCTCAAAATCATTAATTTCGTCAAATATTGAAGTCGAAGATTTTTTTACATCCTGAATCGCGTTCTAATTGCACACTCCAAACGCGTTCCATTTGTACATCGTCCAGGACGGTATGGGTGTGTAGGCATAAGCATGGGACGGACAAAGTTGTAAACGCCACGAAATGTGGGAGCAAACAAAAACGGTGCCATGATAGTAGTGAGATCTTCACACAAGCAAAATCGATCAAGATTGTTTGTAGTCGAAAATTATTTTGCTTCATAAAAATAACTTTGACTAGCAAGGATTTCAGAATGGCATTGGTTTGACATCAAAAGAGAAAATTCTACAATATGAGGCTCCGTTAATTTCAAAAATAGAAACTATCTATCAAATGACCCCAATCATAAGAAAATACTTGATGCACTATTTCACTCAAGCGCTCCACTCCACTCGAGCAAGTTGAATCGATGACTACAAACACCTGTATGCAAGGAACGCTTCGATTCGAATTTTCATGTTTATAACAGATTCGCGAAGGTGTAAGTTTTTCTAGTGTGTAAGTGAGAGGACGTCTAATTTTCTTGACCAACCCCTAAGGTCTCAACACAGATTGCAAGGATCATGATGACCCTCAATTTGGAAACCGTGCGCGATTCCATTCATGTAATCCGCTTTACTCTAGATTTTATTAGATTATCCACAGTTTGCTTGCTCTATTAATACTCTATATCTTCATACACAAGTTCCCATGTATCTTGTCCATATACAAATCCTGAACATAGTGAACATTTTAGTATAGATTCATACTAAAATGCTGCCTTCACCTTATGGGATTCCAAGTCCTGCAAGGATTCTACGATGTTCATTTTTGATTTTACTACTTTCTAATCTTAAACAGTACCAAAAGTCATCGTAATTGTTGACACCAACGATTTTGTAGAACTGAGATCGAAAAATTGGATTTTCAGTAGTACACTATAAAGAATGGGACGATATGGCAGTGGAAATAGACGGTCGCCAATTAGACCATCTTCTCTTCTCTAATGATATCGTTCTCATAACAACAAGCATCAGTCAACCAGAACGAATGTTGATCGATTTTGATAACGCCTGTTGAAAGATTGGCCTTCAACTAAAGAGGAACGGGTGGGCTTTGAATGCCCTATTCACGCACAGCGAACGACAATCTCTGAATGCTCCAGTTACGTCTATCTAGGCCGTGAAATCGTCATACAAAACGATTTAGCTCCAAAGTTGAGCAGGAGGAAAGGAGCGGCTTGGGGAACGTTAAGAGCATCGAGGATATAGTGAGAAGGAAAAAGAACACCCGACTTCGTGCCCACCGTTTCGACTCGACGATCAGCCCTGTCCTAACATATGCAGCAGAAACCTGATCGCTACATAAGCAGGATAAAAGATCACTTGGCTTATTGAATGCGTAGTTGGAAGGTCGATGCCAGAATTGGAGAAAACTCATCTTGATTAGCTGAGCGAGGTTGGTAAAGCAGTTGTAGAAATTCGGCTGACGTTTCGGCGACTATAGAAAGTCTAACTTTTGATTTGATGCCAGAAGTATCCCGTATCTAGCAAATTAGAGAAAGAATGCGCAGTTCTGACCTACGTCACCGATAGAAGTTCAAAGACGCCGCTCTACACGCCAGGATATCGAAAATAAGTGGTGCGGACACGTGATGCGCTTCAACGACAACCGATGGACGAGAGCCGTTACCGGCTGGATTCCTCGGGACATCAAGAGTTCTACAGGATTACCACCGACCCAATGGTCCGACTTCTTCACGAAAAGCATAGAAGAAAGATATGATGTTCAACGAATACTCAGAGCAAGGAGGATCCGTTGGGTTATTCTTGCACACGATAAGGAAAAATAGGTGTGTTGCTGGTGCCCGCTCGAGTTACTCGACAATCAGCGAGACGATAGGTGATGCAGATGACGCTATGAAAAAAAATTACATTTACTCTCATTAAGGAAGAGCACCAATACACAGAGAGTGTAAAAGAAGGTATGGAAGTGATATCGCTACAAATCGAGAATTCGTGCATTTAATTTAATATAAATGAGATCTATAGTACACCAAGTATTGCAACTGATTATCAAATTGAAATCCATTTTGCAACATGATATCTCACACTTTTATTTCCCAATGGCATGCTTCATGGTTTATGAGACCGATTTCTTCAATTTTTAGAGTGTTATCATTTGATTATAAACAAACATTTGAGAGCGTTCACTCATGTGGATTGTTGGGAATGAGGAAAAAAACAGTTTTCAAGATTTGGGAACCAATCAATATTAGTGGTGTAAGACTTTTTCTATAGGATGCGCTCAATTTTTTCACTAAAATCGAATACCATGTACAAGATCAACGACAAGAACGGGAGAAACAAACATTTCTTTTAGCTGAAGCACTCGAGAAGGAGTAGAATCAATGTGTAAAGTAGTCAATCTTATTGGGTAAGATTCATGGATCTCCAACTATCGCAGTAATAACGGAGTCGAGTTAGCATACGGAGAGAAAAATGGTCACTCTACTTGTGATTTTTGTACCTTAAAATGATGGTTACATTCTATGTCAAGTGAGACATTCACCTAACACAGAGTGTTGTGCAATCGATTGCTCATTGGCTGGTACATTTATCATAATTATACCTTTATCTCGAGTGCTTTGTTTAGACCACGCTCAAATTTCAATATAACCTTTTATCATTATTAGAGTGTTAGTTTATTATTAGAGTGTAAAGCGTACGTCGTCGATGACTCTCTATAAGGAGTGTAAGGCCCCGAGAGAACTGACTATAAAAAGATCGACAGACGACAGGTTCTGCCCGGCTGATGAATCTGTAAGGACGAAACACGTGTCTCGGGCTGTACAAGAGCCCTTACCAGACCACATGACATGTTGGCTCAAATAATGATAAAAGGATATTTTGATTTTTGCATCAATCTACCCAACAACAGCCTAGTAGTTTACTCTCTTTCTAAAATGAAACAAACAAAAATCAAATAATGCCAGTGATGTAGAGTGGTGTGCAAAGACGTCTCCACGAGCCGAGATTCAAACCTAGATCTTGCCCTTCCCGGGAGCATATGCTAACCGTTGCACCACCGACGCTCGTTTTGCACTCCACTCTTTCTACACTACAACGCAGTATCTGTCAACAGCCAGCCGTCTACGGTGCGACGGGGCAGTCATTATCGACATTGAACCCACTTATGCTGACAGATATCGGGCGGCTGACGCAAACGTTTTTGCACACCACCCTACATCACTGGGTTTATAGAAACATCATAACACCGCGACAGGCGGTCAAATAAAATTATTCCCAATCACATAATTGTTTATTTCAAGCACATCACAGCGGACTTCACGTTTTAACCAATCGTTGCAAATGCCGATGAAAAGTGCGAGTTGAACGGACCCGATGCCAACATTCGAACCGCTCTGTTAACTACACTTTGCCAGATATCTCTCGACCAATTCGCCATGATTATGTTCGTGGTCTACAAAGATTTGTTTCTAAAACGGACTTATATTCAGAAAAAGGCTTGTCAAACCGTGAGAGCTCCCGTGATTGACAATGCCTGGCAGCGATAGTTTGGATAGTGTTGCTCATGCTTAGGTTACACATATCTTTTCCTACCCCTATCGCTGTGCATAATGCAGTGACCGTGTTGCCGACAACGATGCAGTGTGGATGATCCACATTGGTGGGCATGACACGAACTAGAAGTAACTTCTTTTTATCTATTTAGAAGTGCTGAGTATTTAGCTGAAAAAGATTACAATTCGACATTCTGTTTTCTCAGCTTGATACTACTTCATCGTAACCAATGCGATAAAATCCAATATATGCCTTACAATATATGTGATTACCGTATGAAATCCAATTTATTTGATGCGTTTTCTAGAATACTATAATCTGTATGAATGTTTAAGGCCTTACCGAGGTTGCTACGTCAGAGCCATACACGTGTTTCGGAGGTCTCGCCCTCTTTATCAGTGACCTACGCTCCACATCGGACCTTATAGCAGAAGTGGAGACGTATGTGATGCTAAACACGTGTACGGCTCTGACGTAACAACCTCGGTAAGGATTTAAACACTCCTACAGATTATACTGAAAGTTTATGGTGTAGTTTGCAAACAGTCGATGAGATGGTTAATTAAAACGTTTGACCATTTCTTACATACACAGAGACACTCTCAAGATTGCTTGTTAGAAGTAAGAGCATGAGTTTTGCAACAAATGACAACAGTTGTGTGCGTAAAAGGCCAAAAGGATATTACGCTTATGTAGAAAAGGATTGAAACCTTAAATCTGAGTTATGACACATTGATGAGTTCCAAAATTTTTCCAGCCTCATCTACAATTTGCACTTCGGTTCCCTTGCCAAATTTCACTTTGCTTTGACTCTCATATTTGAAAAAAAACTACGACTAGTCATTTAGCCCAGATTTAGACGTACGCCAAACAATCGCGACAGCGCATACTGAGTAGTGGCGGCGATTAGTAATGACGCTCGCAACAATGAAAATTGAGATTTTGTATGAGGTTAATGGTAAATGATGATTTCACAGAAATTCTAAGGGAACATTATCATCACTGGTTGATAGAATATTACAGAAGAGCCCTCCCCAAAGGTTGATTTATAATTAAGGACGCCCATATGTAATAAAGTCTCCTATAATTCAACGAGTTTTCATCTAAGGGTATATCAAGATCTTTCTCACAACTTCTACTACTAGTCCATTCTTGTGAAAAACTCTAAGGTGAAAGTGGAAATGGATACCGATGAAAGCAGTTGAGCTGGCCAGGAATTACTTTTGGGGCCACCACCTGCACATCACATCAAAGTTATGCCATTTTGAGGACCAGCACTGATAGGTAGGAGGCGTCGCGCCGTCTCTTGTGCGGCACTAGCAAGGGGCGGCATCTGAGTGCCTGTGCAGGAGCGTCATGCTGTCTGTGCCTGTCTTATCACAAGCATTTTCTTTCCCATGCTGCTATTACGAAATCTGAGTGAGACCGTAAGAAAATTGAGACTGGAAAAGGCAAGGAAGAGGGTACGTTGGGTATGGATAACCAGTTGCCAGGAAGCCAGAGGCTGTAACTCGAAGGGGCTGACATAATCATGCAAAAACTATACAAAACGAGGCTTGTTCGTTGAAAATTATTTTGCAGATTGCAATGCAATGCCACTTCAACGACTACCGTCGAGAATTTTTGAATCGGTTTCAATCATGAGCATTATTCATCCTCTTTAGTCCACTTTCAGTGAGACCACATCTTGGCTTTGGAAGTCCCATAAGTACATGAAGGACCTCATGTCCGGTCTTACCGACACCGGAGAGATGGATTACTTGGTGAGCCATGACCGCGATTTCGAGATTATCGACCTTGTGTGCGACGCAGAGCACATCCTAACCACTACGCCGTATGCTTATTTTCATTGAAAACTGTAACTGAATGTTATTTTCACTTAGAGTTTGTCTATGAAAGTTTATCCACTAACATTCTATCTTTTCTTAGCGATAAACTTTCCTCATCATCGGAAATCTAATTAGATAAAAGTTTGGAGAATTCGTTGTAAATTTGAGGTAGCATACTTCAAAAGCAAAATACTATTCTTTCATCATAAAACATAGTATGAAGTTTGAACCGGAAATCAATCACAGTGTGAAAATCGACATTTCTCAAACAATTGATTGACTACATGAACATCGGTTAAAATGCGAAACAAATGTTATATATTAGCTGGAAATACGGCTTCCTTCATAGCGATTAGTTTTCTCGCTGAAGCATGAGAAATGTAAAGTAATATAGATCATGTAGATGCGCGTACTAAAATTATCTCTTTAGAGATTTCAAATAAAATTTCATCATTTTATGATGACATTGCTCCTCGCCTCCTCGCATTCATCGTCTCAAAAATCTTTAGAAACGCTAGTGGCCGCTCCGCGTGTCTGTGTAGGGATGTCATGCCGTCTGCGTATGTCTTCCCACAGGGTGCATCAGCTTTCTCGCGAGGCGCGACGCCGTCATTACAGTAGTTGAGTGAGATTTGACGTCTCCCGGCACAGTACGAAACGTATCGTTTGGTCTTTAAAAGGATATGTGGCGGTGGGAACTGGACGGGACGAAGGAAATTATCTGAAGAGCAATCAACTACAGATAAATACATAGAAGGTGCAAAATTAGCACACACTTTCCATGTCAAAATCCCCATCACTAAGGATGGTCGTTTTGAAGAATAAACAGTTGATAAAAAGTCAGAGTCCAACAACTATAGAGCAAAATATCTTCCACAATCTAATAAAGGCCCTAACTCTAGAAGTGCACTAATAATCGACGTATTATTGAGATTCATCAACGAAGCAGCATTGTATGCTGTGTGCAATATCATATAATGCTGAACCCTTCATTGTTTTTCTTTTAATCAGAGACTGCGATCACCTTCGTGATTGTATACAGTGAGAGCTCATAAAAATAAGAGAACATATGCATAATACTTGCTTTCGGAAGTACAAAATCATTATACATCTGATTACTTGGCTATTTCTTCATTTGCAGCTATGTATAAAGGCTGATCTTTGCTGATATAAGAGGTAAAGGCAAATTTAATTAAAATATCGATAAATGTAGATGAAACCACGTACGAATGTTCAATATCACTTAAAAGTATAACCTGTTTCGTGCGCAATTGATTCTCCACTTTCATGATGCAGGATTTTGAAGGAAGCATTGGCGCTGTTCCTATTATTCATTTCTTTAATGAGGTATCTTTTATCACGTATCACATTTACTAACTATGAAACTCTTTTTAGTGGAAATAACTGCCCAAGTTTTGTAAATAAACTATCACATTGTCATTGCAGCGCGCCTCTTTTGCCGCGAGATGTGCCGCCTGGCGTGTGAGAATTCAATGTAGGACTCAACGGGTCAATCTCCAATGTATTGAACAACAGAAAGGAATTTTCCAGCACGAAAGAGCTTACTGGACCTTCTATCTTTTAAAAATACTAACTCGACAAGATCTCAACGGAGCATTTCAGAGTAGTAATATAATATTGTGTGCGCGTTTGCGGGCTAGGGTGTTGATGTAATGGCAGCAATAGTACAACATTTAATGTTCATGTCAACCATTGAAACGCCTAAAGAAATTGCATAAAACAAGTCATTTGAACATGTTTTCTCACAAAATATTATCTGCATCTTTGTTTCTAATACCGGATGATAGCCGTAAGATTACTGAAGACATTTTAGTGATTTTAAGCGCTCTTTAAATCTTTAGAGACGGAATTTATCTTTTTGCATACACGAATTTTTGAAGGCTTCTTCTGGAAAAAAGGTATTTCCGTATACTTCCAGTAATTATTGGGAAGCTTGAGTGATGTGTCCTCTAGTGGCAGTGGTTGAAATCGTTTGCGCGCGGCGTCATTTGAGAGGCACGCGATTTTTGATTTTAATAGGTTTTTTTTCTGCGTCTTGGGAATAGTTCCGAGTTTTTCTGCATTGATATTGTTGACAAGATTTTTTTCTATTGTTTGTTAGGTGTAGTTTCTTCATTCCACATTGTCTTTCGAGTGTGAAACGTGGTTCTGTCTTTGCTCTAACAGCACTCTACGGAATTTTTTTTTTTTTTTTTGATACCAACATTGTCATCAAGATTGCCGAGGTTTGGGCCATAGAAGGACTCCCAATGATTTAGCGATAAACCACCTAAAGACTGCTACCAAGCAAGCAAAAAGAATCGAAGGCGAAACATACTATCATCATCACTGGTTCAACGTGTTGAAAAAAAGCTTTTCAGAAACCAAACACGCTCTTAGGATTGTCGAGATTCAAATTTTCGAATGATTAGTGAAAGTTTTAGGGGAAAGTTTTTTCCAGCAACAAAATTTTCTAGAAAGTCGTGTATCCAAATGGATTCATTCCGTCCCGAAAGGGTAAATATGGCTTCACCTTAATCAATGTTAGAAGTCAAAAACCTACTCATCGGACCTGCTGCTTTTACAGGTGCGACACCCTTGCATTCCAAAGGGTCATAAGTAATCTGAATAGTAAGCTGATTCAAAATCATCGAGGTTATAGCATCAGGGAGACCCGCGCT